ACTCTGAAACATGTGGGACCTCCTGGCTTCCTGGTTCCACAAGATCAACATCAGGTTTGTCTCCAGGTTTAAGGATCCTCTGGATTTCAGAGTCACCAGAGAATCCACTCTGAAGGCCATTCAGTCTGATATCCACCTTTCCTCTCTGAAACTCCTTCCACGTGTGCTCTGCAGGTTCAAGATGGTGACTCTTGTTGCACCAGACTGACCTAGAAGAACGTGGCATTCTGTCCTCGTCAGACTACTGACAGACTCTCCCTGGGCCCTCCGAGAATGTTGGGATCTTCTTTCCCAAGGACTGATTTACCACCCTGCTTCTTAGTCGCTGGTTGTAGCGGCCTGGCTGTTGAAGGCCAGAAACCTGAGGATCAGGGGCCTGTCGAATCTGGTTATCCCTATGCTCCAAAAAGCTGGGAAATCCTCTTTTCACAAAGTCTACCATTGTGCCTGAAAAGCAGATTTGTCTTGGTGGGATATATGGACATTTCTCCCTATGAAGTTCTCCATGGGTTGAATCCTCTTCTCCAATCTGGAACACTTCATGTTTGGTACCAAAAAAGGTCAAACATTGGCTGTAGCGACTTCTTCAGAAACTGTCTCCCTCCCAGGTGAAGGCCTTCTTACCGAGTGTCACTAACATCATCATTCCTGTATGTCCTGGTGACTCGGGGATCTCGGCCTGGTTCTGTATTTCTTCAGAAATCAAGATTTCCCCCAAAAATTGGAAATTGCAAAATTCCTTTGAACCCAATATCACTCTCTCTGTCCACCATGTCCACCATTACTCACAAGGTTGCCTTCCCATCGCCGTAACACATAAAGAACCCTGTCTTGTGCTACACAAAGATGAGGCTGTTTGGAGGCCCAAGACCTCTTCTTGTCACCTTAACCAGGACCTTGTTCTACCATCTCTGTCTGGTTCCTAATTATCCTGAGGAAATTCTTTCCACTGGCTGGTAGAGTTCATCTCCTCGATTGTCATTTCTGAAGGTTCCTACAAGACAACCGTCTGGATCTGACAACTCGTTATTCAGTCACATGACCTCACAGGGCAGGTTCTTCTGCTCCACCACCTCAGTCAGAACTTCCTGGGCTTTTCAGCTTCCAGGGTCTGTTTTCTGGAGACGTGAGGCTGCTGCCTGGTCTGCTCTTCATTGAGGTCTACCAGGTGTGGACATTCAGGTGTCGGGTAATGGCGGCTTCAGTTGTAATGTTCTGTAGGGCCCCCTCTGTGAATCTGTTGGGCAGGTTAGCTGTGTTGCCCACACCCTCAGTAGGACTGCTTATGTCCTGATGTCCCAGAATTCTTCATCCCGTGTGTAGCAATCATGCGCACAGATATGGACGTGGACAACCATGTTGCTAAAGATCCTCCATCTTGTGTTATTCTCACTCCAAATCAGTCCCCCCCCCCCCTCACTTTTTGTTGTATGGCATGTGGTCTGGTGTGGCTGAGTTCAGGAGTGCATCGGGCACAGCTGGATACACTTCATGGTTGTAAACCCAATTAGCTGATTCCAGGGTGTCTGTTAGACTCTTGCTCTGAGCTGATCGTAAAGCTATAAACCCGTCAGTCACTGGACATGAAAGCATTCCAGAGTGGCAGTAAAACCTACATCCCATATGAAACCACTTTGTCATACAATTTCATAACGCCCGGCAGGAAGAAGGTACAATAAAACCAAGCATACATTCGGAGAGGTCAGTTTAATACGAGTCACCTGATACCTTACACCCCTAGATTACGTCTACCTGAGAGCAGAAAGCGATATCTCCTTACCCGTCACAGGCAGATATGTCATATGTCATGTCTGGACGTTCAGCAGATGATTCTGCATAATATCCTGCTAGTGGATAGGATGCTACATGTACCTAGGGATGGTTATTGACCCTGGTATAAACTGGGAGGGATTTTGGTCCTAGCTTGGGTCTCCGCCTAAAACCCCTCCCCAAATGAGGCGATTGGCCCTTGGCTTCAGAGGCACCCCCCTGCTGGGAGTGTCAGGCCTGAGAGAGGTAAGATGAGGAGATTCTCCCATTTAACATCGGAACCAACTTTGGGAGAATCGGCACCCTTCTGTTCAGGGCATTCGAATCTGCCTAACCCAAGGCTGACGGCAAGTATTTACCTCCCTAAACTTCCTTCTGTTACCTCTCTGCTGTGTTATCCCTCTTTGTATTTATATACAGTTGTGTTCACAATAATATCCGTGTGATGATAAAAGTGAGTAAAGCTGCAAATCCTTCTAATCCTTTTCTTTCCATCCACACAAATGCATTGGGAACACGACACATTGTATTCCAAATCACAACATGAAGAAAAATACATCAAATTTGTGTTGTTCCTCTAAAAAAATGGAAGAAAAGTGAATATTAGACGGTTCAAAAAAATGGCCGTGTTTGTATTCTTCTTTCCAAACTCCAACATTCACTATATAAACTGAGAAATGTTTGAAGATTTTGCTTTCCTTTGAATGACTTCATGAATATTTGGTTGTAGTCGCACTGTTTCTGAGAACTGCTGTACATCTGTGTTGCATGGAGTCCCCCAACTTCTGGCCCCTGTGATCAGGTATTCCAGCCCAGGATGATTGGACCACATTCCACAGTTCTTCTCTATTTCTTGGTTTGGCCTCAGAAATGGCATTTTTGATGTCACCCCACAAGTTTTCTATTGGATGAAGATCCGGGGATTGGGCTGGCCACTCCATAACGTCCATCTTGTTGGTCTGGAACCAAGATGTTGCCCGTTTACTGGTGTGTTTGGGGTCGTTGTCTTGTTGGAACACCCATTTCAAGGGCATTTCCTCTTCAGCATAAGGCAGCATGACCTCTTCAAGTATTCTGATGGATTCAAACTGATCCATGATCCCTGGTATGCGATAAATAGGCCCAACACCGTAGTATGAGAAACATCCCCATATCATGATGCTTGCACCACCATGCTTCACGGTCTTCACAGTGTACTGTGGCTTGAATTCAGTGTTTGGGGTCGTCTGACAAACTGTCTCCGCCCACTAGACCCAAAAAGAACAATCTTACTTCCATCAGTCCACAAAATGTTGCGCCATTTCTCTTTAGGCCGGTCAATGTGCTCTTTGGCAGATTGTAACCTCTTCAGCACACGTCTTTTTCCCAACAGTGGGACTTTGCGGGGACTTCTTGCAGATAGCTTGGCTTCACATAGGCGTCTTCTAATTGTAACAGTCCTCACAGGGAACGTCACACCTTCTTTCATCTTCCTGGAGCTGATTGTTGGCTGAGTCCTCACAGGGAACGTCACACCTTCTTTCATCTTCCTGGAGCTGATTGTTGGCTGAGTCCTCACAGGGAACGTCACACCTTCTTTCATCTTCCTGGAGCTGATTGTTGGCTGAGTCCGCCCCATTTTGGCTATTCTTCTATCCATTCCAATGGTAGTTTTTCGCTTTCTTCCACGTCTTTCAGGTTTTGGTTGCCATTTTAAAGCATTTGCCATCATTTTAGCTGAGCAGCCGATCATTTTCTGCACTTCTTTATATGTTTCCCCTCTCCAATCAACTTTTTAATCAAGGTACGCTGTTCTTCTGAACAATGTCTGGAACGACCCATTTTCCTCAGAATTTCAGAGAGAAATGCACTGTAACCAGCATGTCCAACATTTGCTGCCTTCCTTCCTTAAATAAGGGCAATCATTGCCACCTGTTTATCAAAGAATGAATGACGTCACTAATAGAACTCCACACGGCTATTATTGTGAACACGCCCCTTTCAATGAGTGATTCAATGACACAGAATCAGCAGCATGCATGTCATGACTGTTGGGTCTGTTGGATTTCTATGACTCTACTACACCGGCTAGGAAATTATTTGCCATGTAGAAATATCATTTCCACCAAAAACAGCGATTGATCCGGTTAGTGATGTCTGACGGCTAGTATTTTCAACACAACCGTATATATTGGCTACATCTTTTCTGTAAATATTTTTATTGCGCCCTTTTGACCTTTTTAGTAATAAATCCTATTTTCTGAAAAGTGTTGAACTGTTTCTAAAGCTCTTTAATGTAAACTAAGAACTGTCGCTGAAGAGCGCTACTGTGTGTTTTAAACTTCAGTATATCTCTGCCTGTGGTGACCGTGTTATACAGACGATTATCTAACCATCATAGTGTTATTGCCGACTTTCCTCTTTCTCTGTACAATAGGAGGTGGTGGCAGTGTGAAGGGTTAATTGCGTAATTAACCTGACCCAGTAACAATCGCTCCCAGGCTGCGGGTACATCGATTTGTGGTCCATTAGCTGGAAAATCATTGTGCAGGGTGCAGCTGGGCGTGGCATTGTTGCGCACATGACAGCACAGTTTCAGATTGGCTAGTCCTTCGGTCACGAGTTTGGTGGGAAGGGCTGGGGTCTGACGCCACGCCCATCACACCGTGTGTGTCCTTCTTAACGTGCAATAAAGAACGAAGGATTTTTTTCTTGGTGGACGTCTTCTCTGTTCTCATGGTCCACTCTTACTATTGCATGCTGGGAGTGGGAGGGATTATGTTGGGGTCGTCTGTACAGATTTGTGTCCAATCTCCAGCGGTGGCAGCATGACCCAATGTACCTGGATTATATCCGGTGTCTCCTATTGGGCGCCAAGGAAAAACATTTCACGGTAAGTCAAACACCCGACATCTTCCTGGTCTGAAGGTGACCGTAAATCTTCTTCCTCCCTCAGGTGGCTCAGCGATTCCGGGAACTCGTCAGTCTCTTCCAGACGGGCTGCGTCACCAGTTCAGATGAGGAGGAGGAAGAGGAGGACCCCGCAGTGATGGAGAACATGTCTGACCCAGAAGCTGCCCAATCTGAAGATGATTAGGACATGGACACGCCTACTCTGGGGAGGGTCAGTGGGGTGTGGACGTGCCTACTCTGGGGAGGGTCAGTGGGGTGTGGACGTGCCCACTCTGGGGAGGGTCAGTGGGGTGTGGACGTGCCCACTCTGGGGAGGGTCAGTGGGGTGTGGACGTGCCTACTCTGGGGAGGGTGACAATGTGGACACGCACGTTCTGGAGGTGTGGTAGTGTGGACACGCCCACTTGGGGGGTCCGTAGGGTGTGGACACGCCCACTTGGGGGGTCCGTAGGGTGTGGACACGCCCACTTGGGGAGGGTCCGTAGGGTGTGGACACGCCCACTCTGGGGAGGGTCCGTAGGGTGTGGACACGCCCACTCTGGGGAGGGTCCGTAGGGTGTGGACACGCCCACTCTGGGAGGGTCCGTAGGGTGTGGACACGCCCACTCTGGGGAGGGTGACAACGTGGACACAGGATATTTTGTACAGATTGTTTTTAGGATGTATATTATTATTTGTGACATTAAATTGTCGGTTTCTTGGTGATCGAATTGTTGGATTCGGTTTTGTTCTTTTCCTGTGTTGGGTGACTCTTCTTTGCCGGATGTGCAGGAGTTGTCACCGGGGGCTGATGTCCATCTTGGTGACATCATCACAGTGCGCAGGGCGGCCATCACTACAACCGAAGAACAGAATTGTGTCAAATACTGAAAGCTCTAACAGAGGCCATAGATCAGGAAGATGGGAACCTTGGGGCCCCTAGAGAGGCCGTAGATCAGGAAGATGGGAACCTTGGGGCCCCCAGAGAGGCCGTAGATCAGGAAGATGGGAACCTTGGGGCCCCTAGAGAGGCCATAGATCAGGAAGATGGGAACCTTGGGGCCCTAGAGAGGCCGTAGATCAGGAAGATGGGAACCTTGGGGCCCCAGAGAGGCTGTAGATCAGGAAGATGGGAACCTTGGGGCCCCCCGAGAGGCCGTAGATCAGGAAGATGGGAACCTTGGGGCCCCCAGAGAGACCATCGATCAGGAAGATGGGAACCTTGGGGCCCCCAGAGAGACCATCGATCAGGAAGATGGGAACTTTGGGGCCCCCAGAGAGGCCGTAGTTCAGGAAGATGGGAACCTTGAACGCCCCAGAGAGGCCGTAGATCAGGAAGATGGGAACCTTGGGGCCCCCAGAGAGGCCGTAGATCAGGAAGAAGGGAACCTTGGGGCCCCTAGAAAGGACCTAGGGTGAGGTGAGTATAACATCTTTTTTGGTGTGTTGGTTTAGGAAACTGAGAACTGTGTGTGTTGCCCTGTAACCTCCTCTGTGGGATCCCGAAGCTGTCTGGTGGAAGAAACTAGCGAGGAGCCTGAGCTGCTGCATCTCCACCATCAGTACAGGTCCCCCTCCGAATGTGTTGTCCCGGGCCCCCAGAATACTAGAGGTGGGATCTGGACCTGGATGGTGACAACGGACATTTCCCGGCACGGACACGAGACAACATGGCGCCCTACCGCTGGCATCTGTCAGCTGCTCCCTACTGTGAGGAAAATGTTGGTGATATAACGGGAGAACTGGGGGGCCCCATGATGAGGAGGGGCCCCAGGAGATAACAAGCAATGAGGAAAATCAAAAAACACACACACACACCACCCCCACCTCTACATACAGAGAAAGAGGAAACTTGGCAATATCAGCAATAACACTGTGATCGTTGAGATAATTGTCTGTATATCACGGTCACCGCAGCCAGATGTATACAGAGGGTTAAACACACACAGTAGTGCGCACACACGCATCTGTATAACACGGTCACCGCAGGCAGATGTATACAGAGGGTTAAACACACACAGTAGTGCGCACACACGCATCTGTATATCACGGTCACCGCAGGCCGGGTATACAGAGGGTTAAACACACACAGTAGCGCTCTCCAGAGACAGGAGTTCTTAGTTTACATTAAAGAGCTTTAGAAACAGTTCAACACTTTCAGAAAGTAAGATTTATTACTAAAAGGTCAAAAGGTGCAATAAAAATATTTACAGAAAAAGATGTAACCAATATACAGAGAACAGCAGCAAAGAGATAACAGACGTTTATGGAGTCGAGTACTTGCCAAAAGTCCTGGGTTAAGCAGATTCAAGGGTCCTGAGCCAGAAGGGTGCCTTCTCTCCCAAAATTGGTTCTGATGTTACAAGGGAAAGTCTTCAACTCAACTACTTAACTTCTCCACTCCAAGCATAACAGCCTTTCTAGGAACTCAGCAGGGTGTCTCCTTGAAGCAGAGAACCAATCACCTCGTTTTGGGAGGGTGTTGCAGGCGGAGACCCAAGCTAGAACCAAAATCCCTCGCAGTTTATATCATGATCCATAACTTTCCGTCGGTGCATGTAGCAGCCTAGCCACTAGTAGATTAATATGCAGAATCATCTGCTGAACGTCTACATATGAAATATGACATACCTGTTGGGGGTGGTTAAGGAGGCTCTCCTGTAGATGTCAGCTAGGGGGTGTAAGGTGTCAGATGACTTGTATTACAGTGAGCGGTCTGAATCTAGACGACTTGTATTACAGTGAGCGAATCTGAACCCAGTCTGAATCTAGTCTGAACCCAGTCTGAATCTAGTCTGAACCCAGTCCTGGTCTCCTTGTACGTCTTCCATATCTCCAGATATAAAATTATAGGGAAAAGGGGATTTTTCAATGTGAGTCTGTTTTACGGCTAGTTGGAACGTCTCTGAAGCTCTGGGAAGGACCGATTTATGGTTTTACGATCTCAGATTGAGAAGCTAACAGACACCCGGCACCAGATCCCCCCCCCGCACCAGATCCCCCCGGCACCAGATTGGGGGATCTATAACCCTGGAGCTCTCCCACCGTCATCTCTGCATAATCCAGACCTCAGTCCTGAGGGAGGGGAGCTGATTTGGGAGTAGAAATGATACAAGATGGAGGAGTTGGAGCACAACGGGTGATTGCTACACCACCCTCAGTAACATTGATCCACAGCCGCCTCCCCCCACAACACACATTGACACCTGGAATACCCATCCCCCCCCCCCCCCACCACCAGGTTACCCCCAAAAACGATTGCATGCTTCTGAACACGATCAAATGAATTTCTTTGGGGTTCAGTGTGGGACACAAACCTTCCAATGGAGTTGGGTTATGAAGTTCGGAGCCTCAGCACCACCTGGTCCAAGATAAAGATGGCGGCTCAGCAATGGAGCTCACAGAGCTGATAGTCCCAGGGTTGGGTTTCTTGTGGCCGAGAAAGGAAATCCCTGATTGGTGACCATACAGGACTAGACGACACCAATCTGACCGACACACTGACACCACAGAGACCATACAGGACTAGACGACACCAATCTGTCCGAACACCGACCACTGACACCACCGCTGACCATACAGGACTAGACGACACCAATCTGTCCGAACACCGACCACTGACACCACCGCTGACCATACACAGGACTAGACGACACCAATCTGTCCGAACTGACACCACAGACCATACAGGACTAGACACCAATCCCGAACACCGACCACTGACACCACAGACCATACAGGACTAGACGACACCAATCTGTCCGAACCGAACACCGACCACTGACTAGACCACAGAGACCATACAGGACTAGACGACACCAATCTGTCCGAACACCGACCACTGACACCACAGAGACCATACAGGACTAGACGACACCAATCTGTCCGAACACCGACCACCACAGACCACAGGACACCAGACGACACCATCTGTCCGAACACCGAGACCACTACACCACAGCTGACCATACAGACACCAATCTGTCCGAACACCATACAAGACCACTGACACCACCACTGAGACCATACAGGACTAGACGACACCAATCTGTCCGACACCGACACTGACACCACTGACACCGAACACCGACCACTGACACCACAGAGACCATACAGGACTAGACGACACCAACCGACTGTCCGAACACCGACCACTGACCACACCACAGAGACCATACAAGACACCAATCTGTCCGAACGACACCACAGAGACTGTCCGACCACTGACACCACAGAGACCATACAAGACTAGACGACACCAATCTGTCCGAACACCGACCACTGACACCACAGAGACCATACAAGACTAGACACAATCTGTCCGAACACCCACTGACCACTGACCACTAGACGACACCAATCTGAACACCGACCACTGACACCACAGAGACCATACAAGACTAGACGACACCAATCTGTCCACCGACCACTGACACCGAGACCATACAAGACTGAGACGACACCAATCTGTCCGAACACCGACCACTGACACCACAGAGACCATACAAGACTAGACGACACCAATCTGTCCGAACACCGACCACTGACACCACAGCTAGACCATACAGAACACACCGACTAGACGACACCAATCTGTCCGAACACCGACCACTGACACCACAGAGACCATACAGGACTAGACGACACCAATCTGTGACCCACAGAACAGGACTAGACGACACCAATCTGTCCGAACACACCACTGACACCACACCGCTGACCATACAAGACTAGACCACCAACGAACACCGACCACTGACTACAAGACTAGACACCAATCTGTCCGAACACCGACCACTGACACCACAGCTGACCATACAAACTAGACGACACCAGACTGTCCGACACCGACCACTCTGTCCATACAAGAACGACACCAATCTGTCCGAACACCGACCACTGACACCACACAGAGACCATACATCTGTCGAACACCGACCACTGACACACCCAATACAAGACTAGACGACACCAATCTGTCCGAACACCGACCACTGACACCACAGAGAACCATACAGGACTAGACGACACCAATCTGTCCGAACACCGACCACTGACACCACAGAGACCATACAAGACTAGACGACACCAATCTGTCCGAACACCGACCACTGACACCACAGAGACCATACAGGACTAGACGACACCAATCTGTCCGAACACCGACCACTGACACCACAGAGACCATACAGGACTAGACGACACCAATCTGTCCGAACACCGACCACTGACACCACAGAGACCATACAAGACTAGACGACACCAATCTGTCCGAACACCGACCACTGACACCACAGAGACCATACAGGACTAGACGACACCAGACCTGAAGTAAACCAGGAAGTAGACTACTTTATTTGAACACAGATACAAGAGACTATATACTAGACACTCTGTCAGGGGGACTAGACGACAATCCCCCCTCTACTTTATTTGAACACAGATACAAGACACTCAGGGGGCAATCCCCCCTCCCTGCATAATGACACAGGGCGGGGCAATCTACATATAAAACAAGAGACACACCAACAGACAGTCCCATCAGGGGGGAGGGCTGCTGGAGACACCCCCCACTAAGCCAATACACAAACACATACATCCCATAATAGTTTGCTCCCAAGCAAGACACACAATAGAACAATGGGGTGCAGTCACATGACAACAAACAATCCACAACCCCCCCCCCCCCCCCAATTTAGGACAGATCACCCTGTACACCTAACAGGCACAG